CTAACATGAACAAATGGAAATAGACTTATAACAGAATCGATATTCATTAAAGTCACACCGGATACATGTAACAATGGTGATTCAGTACAACTATCAACAACTTGGAATATAATTCTGAATACAAAAACATGAATAAGCAAAAAAAATAATGAACTATATATATGAGTACAAATCATAAATGTGTGAATAAAACAATTCCAACAGTGGTGTGAACACGGGCAGTAATTCTGCACGAAATATTACCAATAACAAAACTTTTGATTGTGTGTAAACTATTGAAATATAATTATACTTTATTTAAACAGAGTACCTTTCCTTTATTCCACAATCTACTATCCTTAACTCATAAAACAAAGAAGTCTCTGCTCTACATTACGAGACAGTGATTAAAAAGATAAGTGCATAGGGGTTTGGCATTCGCTTATGTGAGTTTTTCCTCTATATTTGTCAAGTCGGAGAAAACTTAGTGAGACTCTTCTGTTGCACTTCAGGAAAATGAATTCGTGTATTGACGAAATCTGACTCAACTATGTCCAGAAAATTATCAGTGCAAGAGTACTATTCATTTTAGAGTCAAGAAAGGAATAAATGAGTCCTTTTTTGAACTCCTTACCAAACGGAACCAACGTCTACACCACCGAACATAATCCGTATAAATCTAATAATGTTCAATTCAAGATTGGTTGCTAAATTGCATTTCCTCTGTTTCTCTTCAGATTACTTATTTTCTTACGTTTCTTTTGATTTCCGGCGATAATTTCTGAATTTATTTACTTATCAAACTCCTCGAATTTGAAGAGCTTCTGGGTTAAGTAGGTTGAAGTACTTCAGGATGCTACCACAAATTTGTAAAACATGAAGTTGGTTAAAAACGCCGATGTGTTTCTTGAATCCGCCTAGTTTGATACTTTCATTTTGCCGTACATTGTTACATATTGTGAAATACGTGAGTTTCTAAATGATTGATGGGTGAATAATGCACAGCATAGACCATAGTACATGATTTTGAAATTGCATGAACTTCATAGTTTTGTTTTGACATTTTACCAAGTTTCAAAGTCAAATGACGGTTTTGTAAAAGAGAGCTACAGTTCCCACTATAACGAAAGTTGATATACTAAAACTAACTTTGCTATACAGAATGGACACAAGATGACTGCTTCTTTTGGTGAGGCATTGGCTGCGATGAGAGGCAATATTAGCCGAAATAAGATTAGGTCAGGAAGTATTTAGCGGCACTGAGATCAGAATGTTATATTGATCCATGGAGTTATTAAATATTGGTCTGAACCATGTAGTGAGGTGAAGACAGTTTGATGGTATCTTAGATGTGCTACGAAACAGCAGTTGCAGCCTTCAGTCAAGGTGGCTTAATTATGTTCACAAAAGTGCACTATCACTCATTCCTAGTTATCTTCCATATTCTGCATATCTTAACCAATCTTCATTGATTCATACCCTTCATCAAAATGATTCTGGTTTATTCCAAATAACTGATTTATGAAGGTAGAAAAAGTGCGCCAGTTGAAGTTATCACACTTCAGATAAGCACACATAAATATTCAGAAAAAAGTTTACTTGAGTTAGAATAAGTGTATTGGTTTAGAAACTCAGCCAATTCACTCCTTATCCTTAAACCGAGAGTAGGTGTAGACCGGTTATGTAGAATTATCTCACATTTGTGCTGAAAATTCCACACTGTACCACAAGTACTGTTTCTGGAATAAAGCGAAATTGTTATGTTATGTTATGTCATTTGACAGAGGTGAAGCACATGGCAAATATGGTCAAATTTTTGATCGAAGTGTTCAAAAGGCTTCATTTTATACGCTTCTTTACCCAGAAGGGTTGTTTTGTCTACATAATCTAAGTCAGAAAGACCTTTTCTTGTCAGCAGGTGGGTTCCTGAAACAGTGAAGTGGTTTAGCATCACATCCATCAATACATTTACGATGAAAATTAGTAAAAATCGTCACAATGGGGATCGATGACGGACAAAACTGATTGTCTTTACTTCAAATGATAGCTCTTCATAAGGTCTTAAACGACTGCATGGGTTAGGATAGTATCTTGATTTGCAACCAGACACTATACAGATACCATAGGTCAATGGAGTTAAATACTGTCATACGGTTACGAGATGTGTCAAGTCCTGGAGGGTAGTGTGTATGCACATGTTCTAGAGCCTTTTGATGCGTGGAGATACGATCAATGCATTCTACTGTAGGTCTGAAGTTTGCATATTTTCCTCTAATATGTTTTTCCCCAACCCTACTCAGTCTTCTTGACATCATTGAACCTTGAATAAAAGAAACTATTTTAGTCAAACTGATCATCCTGTCATTGGCACCAGAATATTTCTTTCTTTTCTTATAAATTGAGATGGTCAACAGCCGACAGCAAACCGTTAAGAGTATCAGGAAATCCCATAGTCAATGACTCATTATCGCCACCATTAAATACCTGTACAATCATACCGTTAGGTAATTTTTTAGATTACAGACACCCCTGAAACCTTACCGACAACTGCAGGGCCGAAGTCTATAATTGTTTCATGCAGAATTTGGATGGGGTCAGTTTCGGTGTAGTAGAACCTCAACTCAACTGCTCTAAAAAGTTTTCTACCTCAATTTGCAACTATCTCTAATTAGAATTTACTAAAATCTGATTCTTTTCTAAGATCATTTGACTTTCCACAGTTTCTTAAGAACTCACTTCCATGATTACCCTAAATACGTAATGAAAATTATTTACTGCTGACTCATTTTCCACTTCTTCAAAGTTATTTACCCTTCATTGTACATGGCCGTTGCGAAGACTTTCCGTTGGCATACATCTGAGTGACTTAAGTTTATGGCGTACTAAAGATGATTTAGACTATTATGCAATAGTACATCCACGTTTTCACCTTCTAATATTTGCTAATGCTGTACACGGTCAACAACGAACAACGTTGTATTAAGCAGCACAAGTGAAAACTTGAAAAGATGTATTGATAACAAAATCGAATTTCAAAAAGCACGACGTAAAGAAAAAAGTGCATAACCGCAAAAAATATATGTATAACAAACGAAAATCAATACTCAATAATACAATGGCAAATAGTAAACAAGAATAAGTAAAATTAGTTTCTGTAAGTGTATAACATGCTGAATGAATCAGTTTTATAAGCAAACAGTTAGGCTTAATATAGCGATGCTCAGGTTCACCATCATGGTCGGGAGCTGCTACAACCAGTCATTGCAGTTCGGATGGGATCGAAGAAATCTATTAGTGTAAATTATTAACAGCCTTCGTTATTGTTTCTACAGCAGGCCAGATGAGAGGCTAGTATTCCTCAGAAAGAGTACTTCTGTAACTCCTGGTGATATGGTTAATTTTGTTCTCACTAAATGCAAATCTCATGTTCTCATAGAAAAGCTAAATACGCAGGTGCTTCACAATTGCTTGTTTTCTACGTCCTTTTACTCTTGTGTACATACGCGCATAGATTAATGCATACTCAGAGTCCTCATGGGTGTTCTGGACTAAGTGACAATCTTTCGCTCACCCTCTCTATAAGTAACTTACATCTTAGTTATCTATTTGTCTTCATGGTTAATCTGGTGTCAGGGGTCTCCAGGTGAAACAGTGTCTCTGTATATGTCGAAAAGTAGTGTCTACTTGGAAAAGGTGGTTGTTTACAAAAAAATACAATCACCACCCTCTGCTGATAAGAATGGGACGCCATTGAAGCCCTCCCATGCACTTTTCGGACTGGCTGAGCTTCTATACTTGAGCACTTAAACCACTTACTAAGGTGAATCTATCTGAGTGTTGCTTTTAACAGGAAATTAGACATTCATAGGATGAATTTTATAGATTAACGATGTTGATCAAGTGGGACTTGGATGCGTGTTTCAGAGACTCAACATATATCCGGTACATAAATATTAGGTTTTTGACCAGTGAGACCTGTTTTTCAATCTGACATTAAGTTTGGACAGTGAAAGATGAAATTTGAAGTTATTATCATGGTTTCAGGAGACTAAGAATAATGTTTTCCTGAATTAAGTAGCCCGTAATAGAGAAGATTTGTAGCTCAGGTGGATGATTTGCAATTAGTAGTGTTCTCTGAGTAGCCAGAATAGGTCGGAGTCAAGGGAAAATGAGGAAAATATCTAGGGAATAGTATTAAGATTGGGAGAAAAGCAAAATGAAGGTGTGTGATGAGTGAAAGAACCATCTGTACTTGTGGAAGCTACTTTTGGCAGCCGCTAAAGTTCATTTCTTCTTGGAGTAGCTGGTAGACAAATTACAGACTCTGTGGGATTACTTTTTAAAGCCTGTCAGGAACAGATTGTTTGGAGAGGCAATTTTCTGAGCTTCGTCCGTACAGAAGATCTTACTACTGAATACAGACTGTAATTATGAATTCAGAATCTTCTGAGTTGACCTTTACTAACCCTTTTTCTCAGAGCGTGGTGGGGAGAGTAAGACTTTTTGTGTTTGATTACTAAAGCAAGACACATTATTGCTGTCTACCTATAGTATCATACAAAGTTAGCCAATGATACTTTTGAAAAATCTACTTCTACAAAACCTCTGGTTCGATTTGATAAAGTCCATTGGATTATATATTTTAAACAACATTATTCTCTGCTGTATCTTCTTTACTTCATTTCATAAATAAGACCATTATGTGAAGTATTTTTTGAAGCAAATAAATTTTTTAGTGTTATTTAGAGTGGACAAACAATCTTACAAAACTAAACCACAGATATTTCTGATTGGCACTCCAATAAACACTAATAACACCTCAATAATTTTCAAGAAAACTAGTCACCATGCTTTAATTTTTGAAGCGCAGACTATTAAACTATAGCTTTATTGATTACAGCCAGCCAATCACGTAGAAGCATATGTGACCTTGTCAGGCCTTTTGATTCCATTCGACTCTTAGCTGATTAGTAATTGGCTGAATAAAAATATAAGGTCATTTATATTAGCCTCGCCCATAATGACTGATGATTTTTGAGCCAGCCTTAAGACAACTTTCAGTCGATTTGCAATGCTTACATAGTGAATATCTTAACTTCATGGATGTTGATAAATACATCAGAGTGGAATGGTAGACCCATCAAATAATTATGGCACAGCCAATGATTTACCTCCTGAAATACTGTTGCGTGTTTTTAACTATCTCAGTACTTCTGATTTAATCAGTTGTATATCTGTATGTACTAATTGGAGACAAGTAGCACTTGATAATTATTTGTGGCAGAAGAAATTAGTACTCATTTTAAGGACTCGGTGGTCAACTCTTATCTGTGATTCCAAACCCAGTCATGCTTTGGATTTACAACGATTACAAACAATTCACCCATACAAAGTATATCATTTCCTGAAAAATTTTGTTCCTCAACATTTATTAACTGACCAGAAAGAAGCTTCAAAAATTCAACTGTTTATTACCAAACTGAATGGGTTGAGTATTTCACCAAATCTCTCTGAAGATCATACAGGAAACAGGTTTTCATTCAGTGAATTATTCTGGAATTGGTTTAATAGCCTAAAACGCAGATTTTCTATCAAGCATACTTCACGTATCAATGATACAGTGCGTAAGCGTTGTCGATTTGCTATATTTGGGCCTGGTTTTGATCAGAGAGCAACAAGTTGCCTATTTAGTAAACTAGTTGATGTTAAAACAAAATCATTTGAACCATTAAATATGATTCCTGGTAGAATGGGATTTGGAGCTGGACTAACACTTCGATTACACAATCAAGCTCAAATAGCATCATTAGATTCATCTTTATATTATTCAAATAAAACTTGTGAACGGATAAAATATGATACAAGACAATTTATCCAAACAGATACTTCAACAACCTGTTCATCACGGGGAATAAATCATCTTGGAGATTTTATATTTGATTTACACTATCTTTATTCTTTAAGTGGACATTTAAGTCATAAATTTAGTAGTCAACTAGAAAGAATCAAAGCTAGTCGTCTATTTACACATTCAGATCACATAAATGTTTTATCAAATGATTTAATTTTAAACAATTTAGTGGTAAGTGATGAAATGAGAAATTTACTTCATGGAATCTGTGGATTAATTTATGCAGTTGATGCTAGAGAGACAACTGAACAAGCTTTTTATTTGTATACTGAATTAAAAACTGTACTAAAAGGTTTTCCTAATGAAATAGCCCATAAAATACCAATTGTGATATTATATATTATGCCAGTAGAAGAAATTTTACAAGATACTAATGAAAATGATATTAATTTAACTCATATTAAAGAGTCTAAAAATGAGGTTTACTTAAATCGTGATAGTTACAGTGGAGCTGATTATACATTCTCATGGTGTGGTTCTTTATTACAACCTTTAACGTGTTTACATTTATTTGAATTTCAAAATCCATGGCGTTTACAAAAGTGTGCAAGTAATGATATTAAAGCAGTGATACAAAGTTTTATGTGGTTACGCTCTAGACATCCGAATATAAAGGATACAACAATGTAACCATTCCTTTTGATGTGATATGTGCAAATTCAACGTATTGATTTATTGCCTACTTGTCAAATACTAGTGACCAAATTTTTATTATTATTATTTTAATCTTTTGTTTTTATAACTATTACACATATAAAGAAGTAAAGCAATGAGATGATGTATTTATCTACACCAATAGTCTTTCATGTAGATATCGATTTTTTTTTCAGAGAGCAAAGTGACAAAGGGATTGAGCTGTGTTTTGTTTTTATATAAGCTTTCAGCAATAAAAAGGAGAGATAAGAAAAAACAACACAGTCCAAGGATATGAATCTATTTCTTTATTTTTATTTTTGTTAATAATTTGTGTGAAATAAAATCCGGTATAAATATTCATTACATACTCGTTGAATTTGCTTTTAATTTATCTTTGAAATGTACTCAGTGAATAATCTAAGCAGGAATGAATATTCACTATAATAAAGGTTTCTGTATTTCCCAATGAATAAAAAACAAAACGATATTGTTTCTACTGACGTTTTGCTACTTAACGCTAATAGCTTTATCAAAGTATTATTAAGGAATGAATATTGTTTTAAGGCTCTTTGCATCATGATTAAACATTACCTAGAGAACAATTAATTTAATTATACAATGCTGATAACTTTCGAAATGAGAACTTTCATTTCCACATCTTATTTTAATAGTAGTCTACTATATGACTCATGTGATTAAGGTTCGATTCCTGGTCGACTGACTTGTAAACTTTCCCTAGCTGGTAGTAAGTCTTGAAGAGAGAAGATTGGGTATGAGGCTAGTAACCTCACTCCGTAAGAACAATACAGTCACTATCGGAAATTCAAAGTTTGAAGCTGTATGTCCCACTCGGAGGATAAAGGCATGAAAAAACGGAAACTAGCAAGTGCTATGGAAATTTTCAAGAATCACTTTATTAAATGTTAAGTTCGAATTAATTCGAAAGAATATCGTGTCTCTCAATCTAATCATTTAATTAAATTTAGTGGATTACTCATCTGTGCTGTAAATAGTCTATCAGAAACAAATTAACAGATTTGGCATAAGATGCTAGTTAAAAAGGAATATTTTCTGGAAAGCTATTTATGAAAACACTTATGTGAAACTCAATATGTATGGACTCTGTGTAAACTTATCCTCTCTTTTTGTTAGGTCATAGGTTTGGATGCAAAACTTAGAATTATATTGTATGAATTCCTCAAAAGCTTTCTTACCACCCTTTGATTTGTATTTTGTTAAAATGTCTGAAGACTATCAGCAAGAAATCTGTGATTTGAGTTTCATGCTTATCTGCAACCTCGAAAAAGCTTACATACCCTCAGAAATTCGGACCTTTATTCATCATAAGTGACTAAAGTGTAAATGATGATGTACTATCTCATCCTTAGCATTGGACGAATTCTATTGACTATTAATGGAATGTAATCGCCAAGATATTAACCTAGCTATCGCATTGCAGTTTGAGTCACATCACAAACTATGAACGAAAACTGTTCAGGTGTTTATTATATTTTCAAGTATTGGTTTTGTAGGGATTTTGTTTGATTGCATGGAGGATTCAATCATGAGCTGACATCAGTTAGAGAACCACTGGAAAACCTGGGAGTACTGGACAGCTGTTTCGTCCTAGTTTGGGACTCTTCAGCAGTACGCACCCACCGGGATTCGAACCCAGGACCTTCTGGTTACAAGGCGAGCTCGTAGACCATTGAGCCACTGGGACCCGATCCAATGGTCCTTGAATATTATTATTTATTATATTTCCCGAAAACAAATTCAATATAGTTGGAGAGATCCTGTTTCACACAGAAATTTAAATACGTGTCTCATAAATTTCTCAAGTCATATAGAGATAAATAGAGAATGAATATAATTTGTGATTTTCGTTTAGATTCAGTGAGTTTTCAGGGAACATGATGTTTTAGTTTAAAGAATAGAAACACGAGAATTATCCCTATTTGAGCTTGTTCTATTGTTAAACTGTTTTCGTACTACATAATACGGTCTATCTAGTGTCCCTATTGAAGGTGATTCATCTCAACTCACTTCCAAATGTATCCGTCACTTTCTGTATTTGTAGAACAAAGTGTACTGAAAGAACACAGACGTAACATTTTATTAGCTATGTATACCTTCTGTTAAGTGGTATAATAAGGTGAGCAATGTTGAGTCAGTCGATGGGGTTGTAAAGCCATAACGATTGAGATTGCTAGAACACGTTTTGTGTATGCCGAGCACCTCCTTCCACGATGAGCAGTGTTGTCTGACATATAGTTAGGTTGGAGAAGACCTAGGGGTGGTCACACCAAAACCAATCACCAGTCCATGAAGTCTTTGGCAGTTGTGTGTTATGTAGAGTGTGGCACCTTGAGGTGCTACACTTCCGTGCAGAGTTCTATGTTGAAAACCAGTCAGTCAGCTACTCTTAATATATCAACAAAAAGTAATGTCGTTGGGCAAAGGAATTAGATTTTAAGTTATTTTGAATGCAAACGTAAGATATTCTGACCAGATTTTGTCAACTTTCCATAGGATTTCTTCTTGACATAGTGATTTAGGCGTTCAGATCAGTCGTTTTATAATTTGTAGTCTTCTTCACTGAAATAAGTAATTCAAATTTAAAATCTCTACATTTATAAAATTTTTACCTGTAGGTATTACATGCAAATTCTAGAATTCTCTCTTTATTCTTCTTCTTATCACTTATTAATGTACATATTATCACCTAGGTCTTCCTCGTTTATCAATTCTGTCATTGTATTCCTGTACAACAAAATAATTATGAATAGAGTTCGTGACATAAACTGATTTCATTTTATTGTGTAGGCTTTCTCACTTTTGTTTTGATGAAAATTGGATAGTTGTAAACACTTGAAATTTGTTAACCAAATCAATAAAATATCATCTCTCTTTCTGTAATGTCTTTAGCAAAACGTACCAAAGAACAGAATGCTTTCGACTATTCACGTAGTGATACCATCTTCAGTTTAAATCTATACTTGCGTCTTCTGATCTTGTATCTCAGTGATTTATAACTTTTATGGATCTAATAATTGATCAAGCCTTCAAAGAAATTTCTTTTGTCTAGGAATCTTTGATGTATAGTTAATTACCTTTATTGCAGGTACACATTTTTTAATCTCTTTTAGTTACCTTAATACTTTATACGTGTCATTTACATATAGCGGTGTGCTTATATTGATGTGAAGAATCCGGAGGGATAAATGTTTATGCATCCTTTGACTAAATGACTTGATTGTCCTGTCCTTGTAGCTATAGAATCTAATTGGAAGTCAAATGGTGCGAGAGACAAGTAGAAACCAAGATGCTTAACTCAACTGTATTTGATGTCTAACTGGTGAGTTTGATGGGAAAAAATAAGTTAGACAGAGCAGTACTCAACATACAATCCACGATCAACTCGTAAAAACATAACTAACCCTTACAAACCAAACTATAGAAAATTAATCTGATGCTTGCTAGTGACTTGCTACAGGTTGGAGTTTCCTGGAGTTCTAGTGAGAAGTCGTGATCAGTGAGGTCCAATTAGATGTCACGTGTGTGGATGGATGTCCCACAGACGACATTGTTTGGGGTCGCGCTAAATCACGAATTGGTAGAAGTTAGAATTCGTGAGCCATTGAGTTGGGTTCCAGTGGCTTAATGGGATACGAGCTTTCCTTGTAACCGGAAGGTCCTGGGTTCGAACCCTGGTGGTGGGTGCGTACTGCCGATGACTCCCAAACTAGGATGAAACAGCAACTGTCCAGTACTCTCTGGTCTTCAATGGTTCTCTAACTGATATCAATCCGTGATCAACTCGTAAATACATGAAGTATCAATTCCACAAACTGATAATAAAAATGATAAGAGTAAAAAGTAAAAGCAACTGTTTTCTAGTTAAGATAGCTTCTAGTCACAAGTTGATACAATACCACATACCATCAGAAAATAAAAAATAGACCCAAACTTATAAATAAATCTCATGATCGACCACTGAACCTAATTAGATACTAATTTAAACATTGTGCATAATGTGACCCGAGTTTATCCATTTGCATAACAAATAAACTAGTGGTTCATCTTTATGAATATATTAATTTTAAAAATACTTCTAACGTTGTATTGCCAGATGACTAATTTCTTATACAAAGAAAGATATAGCATTACTCCAGTTTACTTTTGATTAGACACTAATTAGTAACTAGTGTAATGTGTCTAGTCCTTTGTTTGGTGCAGACTGAATTCTATCAGTCACGCCTTGCTGACAAGTGCCAACTAGCCCGAAACAAAGGTCCAAGGCTTCCTGTCAATCGTCTCCAATTACCTAACATTACTCCAGTTTTCTACAAAACAACAAAATAATTGGCGATTAAATCATTAACACAGTTAAGACTATTTCTAACTGAATTCACAATTTACTGTCATATGAATGAATGATAAGTAATATTAACTAATGCACATATGTTACCATGAAACCTGAACAACTAGCATTTATTATAGACTAGAAAACTGCAAACTGGTCAGCCTATTTGTTTTTATCTTCTAGAACCACTATTCTTTATTCCTTTCAAGATGCTTTTAGGCTTTTAAAGGTTTAATTTTAAACCACCAAAAGAAATTTTCTTTTCTTTATCAAAATTATTTTAGAGAAAATAAGTAGAATACTGCAATCACCAATAAGATATGTTATTATTATCCCCTTGGGTTCCGAGTGGGAACCTCTCCATTTCATCCTGTCCTCTGTAGTCCTTTTAGTTGATTCTGAGATTAGCCACAAACTTTCATCTCCTTATCACATTATCTCCTCCATGTCACCCCCGGACTGACACCAAACTCATCGTTCCGCATTTTGTTCCCGCCCGAGCAATGGCCTGGCGTGTGATATCATTTAGTGATCTCCTCAGTGTAGCCGATCAATTTCTGTTTCCTTCCGAATATTTATTGGGCAAAAGTTTCTTTGTTGGTTCATCAAAAGAGTCCTTTCTTATAAATCCCTTCTTGCCAGCCCTCTGATCATCACTTTGAAAGAAAGGCGGCTGTTAGTGACAGTCTATAGCCTGTTGGAGATGCCTTTCGTGACACGAAAATCAGATTTCTGAACCATATAGAAGCACTGACTCGACATAAGTGTTGAAGATCTGGATCTTATTTATTACGCTGAGTACAGCGATTTCCCACAGTGTTTTCAGATAAGTGAAAGTCTGTCTTACTTTACATATCCTCCCCCTGACATCCTCATTCATGCGGCCTGTAGCTGATACAGTAATACCTAGATAAGTGAAATAGCTGACTTTCTTCAAATTCCTCTCGTTGATGGTGACTCTTTCTTGTTGTTGTTTTGGCTTGGGTATCTTCACCATTAGTTTACTAGCAGGTCCTAAACCTAGAAAAACAAGGAAGGTTAGGCATGGAGCTAGTGACCCTACCTTCAAAATCAATGCAACCGCTATAGAAACTTCAAAGCACAAA